TTCCTATTTGCAACCAGACAAGCTTAAATAGCTACCACATACTGCCCCAGCACATGCTGGCTGACCAGACTGCAGAAGAGCCCTTTCGTGACTCTAAAACTCAGGCATCAGAGAGGCATGTTTCTATTCCTCTTGCAGCAGATGGCATTTAAGAGTATTTAATCCTTTAAATGAAAAAAACCTGATTTTGCCTTAAGACTTGAAAATTAATGATGCCCTGCATTTTTGCCTGGCTGCCCAGGTGCCAGACTGCCCTTTTCCAGGGACACCACTGTGGGTCTGCTTTGGCAGAAGGATAGTAGCTCATTGCTACAGAGACAGCCTCTCTCCTCCTAGAGCTTCAAGGTTTGCAATTCCCTGCTTGGGAATTTGCAAACTTGTTTATTAACTAACAGAAACAATGCAAATCAGGGACAATCAGGGACAAATGCTCTAGTGTCCTTCTCCATTTAAAGTTCTCTTTTCATTATTTTAAATAATGATTTGTTGAAGACATCAAAACCAAGGCTGACACAGGGTAAGAAAGCCTCAACTTGGTTTTATCATCTTACAAAGACAGTTTAAGTCTACTTTTAATAAGCATTTCTAATCCTCCAAACTTCCCCCTGACAACACAGTGGCTAGTCTCCGCGATTATATTTATTTATCTGGTTGAAGAAGAGCTGTCAGGCAACGGCGTATCAGACAATGAGGCTTCTCAGTATCTCAGTGACACTCTGTGGCAGAGAAGTTATTGAGGAGTATGAGATGCGAAGGTCTACTCTTGTGCCAGGCTCAGCGAAACACAATTTTGGGTTTTCAGTTCCCTCTGAAGAGAGAACATCCAGGCGCAGGCGTATGCGAGGGTGGGTGGGTGGGAGGGAGAAAACACTGCACAGATGGCAGGCAGTATATTTATCTACTCTCTGCAAGTTGCTGGATGATGTTCTCCTTTGGGGCAGAAAAGATCCCCCCCTTGTTCCTGCTTACCTCCTTCAGATAAAGGTCCATCCAGTGGGCAGGGCTGGGGAGCCCTGAAGCTGTCGCTGAGGAACTCGCTGTCGGGTCTTGAGCACAGTCCAGTCCTCACTCCTTCACTGCGAGCTTGGCGGTTACAGCATGAGCTCCAGCAGCTTTTCCTTTTTTCAGTAAAGGTGGGAAGGTGTATTATCATTTATACTGCTTGGATTATGCAGTTTGCCTACTCCTTCTGATGCTTATTACCTCCTCACACTTCAAACTGCACTGCCAAAGACCAAATATTTTCTGCTTAAACATTTAATAAAGGAAAAACATGATCATAACTCAGTTCATGATAAATCTTGAAGAACTTGGCCGGGGGTGTGTGTGTGTGTGTGTGTGGGGGGGTGTGTGTGTGAACAATGGTTCTAGCAACATCCAATTTCCTTATTTTTACTTCCCCCTCCACGCTTTTTGCAAGACATATTTTAAAATACGTAAATAAAAACAAAGCTGCAGTCTGATTAATTTTCTTGTGCTAACAAGCATTGTAATCTAGGTTATTTTTTTTTTCTTAAAACAGGAAAGTCTATTTTATCAGCAGCAGAAAAGTGCTGTGTTGTGGACTGAGGCATAACTATTAATGAGTAGACACTTATGAGTATTTATTCTTTAGAATATTCTTGCAAATATCAACAAGCATGATACGTTACCTTACTCCAAGTACCTTTCTGATATTTGGAATAGGAGCAAGAATAATAACTGCAGCTGTGTTCAAGCCTAGACATTCAGAATAGCCAACGGGAAAAGCAGAGAAACATTTGTATAAATAGCAAGTTACAACATTGTTTGGTGCTCTCATGTTCTACTTGAGGGAATACAGCACACCTCTTGAAAATGAACATTTTGTTACTTTTTTCTGGTTATTTCTAAGTTTGTAGAGTTCCTTGCTGTTGTGCAAACACTTGGCTTCCTTTATCATTGATTAAGTTCAGGACACAGAGAGAACTAAATAAATGCCTTGTCATCTGCATTCTGAAGCTACAGAAACTTCTGCATCGTCAGGGGCACCATCGAAGACACGTACAAGGATGAAGATGTCTGAAAGCTGATCACTTTCAGATATTTATTCTTGCAACTCTGTGTTGCAGTAGCATCTAGAATGGCTCTGCAGGTGGGCGCCCCATCAGAGAATAATTAGTCCTTAGTCCACAACAGCTTTGGATGAGAGATTTGGACTTAATTGCAATCTGAAAAGGAAAGCTGCATGCTATGCACTTAAGCACCACTTTGCACTGTAGGTATCGTAAGAAACAGAAAGTCATCAAATGTTAATATACAGCAGTAGGGAGACCTCTGCTCTTTCCTCTCTCACTAACCTGCTCCTGAAAGAATCAGATAGGTTCAACCAGAACTAAACAAAAGCAAAGCAAGTCATCTCTTCCAAACGTGATACCCAGCAACACAAACAGTCCTTGAAACATCCCAAACCAGTAATCAACTACAAGGGTATTTGATCTTTCAGACTTTACTAGCAGATTATGTCATTATGTCCCTCTCCCCACCTTTCGACCCCTTACTTCCCAGGATTAAATTTTTTTTCATGGTTTCAAGCTACTTTTGATGCTCAAAATCTAGCCCATACCTCTGACATCAAAGAAATTTGCCGACTACATGCACACCGTGTGCGTGTGGGTGACCTGAGAAGGCTCTTAGGTATGGAGCTAGTTTGGGAATATGGTATACCCTGCTGATTTTCAAGAACAATTTCCAAGGCGGGAAGTGCAGGGAAAAAAAAAAAAAAAAAAAGTGCCTTTAAAAAGCTGTCTGCCCCTGTGATTTTCATCTCTTTGAAAAAAGCAAGAAAGAACAGAAAAGCACCCCTGGTGTGTGGTTAAGATAACTACAAAGGAACTATTCTTACCAAGTTCCTTGAGTAAAATGAAGGGTGCTTTGATTGCATTTTTTGGCTTTGCTAATCTGACAGATATTGATGGACAATCTGGAATGGCCAAAATCTTTGTTCTAAAAACATTGACTCATACACGTTACGCCCTGATGTTTTACTGAGTTCTTAACAGATATCAAAGCTTTCTTTAAATACCTGGAAATTGCATTTTATACAGTTAAGCATGCATGTATGCAGGGGAGGGAAAAGAGTAGGAGAGGACCTCCAGTAAGAGCAGCTTAAAAAGGAGTTTTTATGCCCTCCAACATGGACGCTCTAAATACAAAAAGCCCAACACTTTGTTTCTGTCTAATCAAGTTTGAAAACTAATAGCACCAAGATTCTTAATGAGAAATTAGGGCCTTGCAGGCTGGTCTCTCCAACAGGTACAGGCGCTTGTGTGCAAAGTCTCCAGCCCTGACTTCCCCCCGGCCGTGGCCCAGGGCTGGAGCAGCAGCCCAGCCTGCGGGAACCAGGCAGCCCCGCTCCGGTTGCCCAGGCGGAGACACCCCCAACACCACCACTCCCCACAGCCAGGCCTCAGCCTCTTCCAGAGGTAAAGGGCTCCAGTGTCCCCCCCACTCCACTGGGATTCAAGAAAGGACGAAATCTTCCATCCGAGAGCATGTGGGGGAGGCACCCTCATGCCACAGGCAGTTTTTATGAGTAGATCGTGAAGGAAAGCAAGCAATGCACACACCATGGCTCTCAGCAGCGCTCTTCTCCCCGACAGCACCCAAACCACTGCCACCAGAGAGCACCTGAACAGGCAGGTGAACCTGAAAATAAAGAGCCAACTCCATGCAGGAAATAAAGACATGCAGACCAGACGGATACAGAAGATCGAGAACAGGGGCTGCAGGTTGTGGCAGGGGTTTGGGAAATGCAATGCTGTGCTACTTGCAGAATTTTTAAGTCATTTGAAATTGTTGCCGCCAGCTCTTGATGGATGAAGCTTTATGTACTGGCTGTTCTGCTTTGCAACCACTGCTGGATAAACTCAGTAAGGAGGGTATTCATCCCTTTATGAGGTAAATAAGCAACCCATAAATATACCATTTCATCCCAAGATGAGCACTATTCTTCAACTTGGTAAGCCTTTTAGTAGAGAACCCTCCTAGTAGAAAACCAAACAGACAAACCACAATGCAGGCGAAATGTGACAAGTATCAAGCATAGACAGAATTTCTGATCTGCCAGGAGTCAGAACTGAAGATTTGCTGTTGAAGTGCTGCTTTTCCTTCCCCAGCATCTCAGCGGAATCAGTCAGTCACTGACAGAAGCAGGCATGAGGTATTGCAACAGGATCTCCCGAGCAAGAAGGACCAGGTCATTCCTCTGTGTCCGTGTGCAATACAGTAAGGAGTTTGTTAAACATTAAGGTCAGGAAACTTCCAACGTCAGTTTTAGACAGTTCACTGGTGAGAAAGCCACTCAGCCAAAATGCTGACTGCTCTTCTAGTTTAGGCTAGTGTAGTCTGGAAATAAAAAAAAAAGGCATTAGCATCACTAGTGCCAGCTTTACCATGCTGGCAGTGGCCCAAAGCATACCCGATGGTTACTTAACAAGGGTAAATGGAGTCCCAGCCTCGGCACAAAGGCAGCCACAGGAACACAGTAGCTGGGATCTCAACACACAAGAGTCCAAACTGCAACTTAAAGTAAATCAAATTTCCTTTTAGTCTCTAAGGTCTTTTCTACATTACGTAGAACATAATCATGCCATTTCACAGGACTTAATTTTCTTCCATTGCTTTTGGAATCCATATACGGCAGCACAAGACTCCCTCCTGCACCATGGAAACCCATCCCTCAGAAGTTCCATGCTACGCTGAAGGAGAGCTACTAACAGTCCATCCTCAGCATCCACACCGAGTGGAGCAGCCTTCCCTCCCGAGGCTGGGCTCACACATCTGGCAGTGCAAGATCCAGGAGCGTTTCCATGGACCATGTGAAGCCCAGACCAGGAACAGAGGTCCCTCTGGGCTGATTAGCCAGCAGAGCTGAAATTCTCTGGAGTTGTTCAGAGAAGTTTCAATCATTTACATAAAGGCAAAGACAACAGCTGTGCTTATAAAGACAGAATCTGAAAACAGGAGCTACTAGAAAAATGTACTCTTTAAAAGACCTTTATTTTGGTTGCATGGTTACAATTCTGAAGTCTGTTTATGCTTATAGTTAGATTGTTCCCAAATAATATTTCATAGCTCACCATGTAAACAATGCATTCTCTATCAGTCTAGAGTCCAAGTACTCTATAAAATACAGATTAAGTGAATTTTGCATCTGTACACTTTTCAGATTAGTTCATCAAGATCAATTCAAAAGGCAAATAGATTAATTGGCAAAACAGTGTTGTTACATTTTTAATATATTAGTACAAAATGGCACAAAAGGGAAAAGGTCATTTTAAAGGCTATAAGCATCAAACATCTTAAACAGTTTGAATCAGTTCAACCGATTTCAACTTAATTTCAAAAACGACTGTTGAACTTGTAATCTTCTTTTCTTCAGCTGTAAGAAAGACCTCACATACAACTCTAGATCTGTTCATGGAAACTGAATCACAGCAGTTTCAGAACAGTGACTTTCAAGTGCAGTTAGGAAGTTGGGAATTTCTATTCTTCCCAGCAAATCTAAGAATTCACAGACTAGAGCTTATTTTCATCTAGCCAAGCTCATTGATGCACATTTCAGATGCAAACAAACCAGACGTGTGCACATAAAACACAGTATTTCTTAATGCAAGAACTGAAACCAAAAGTCCACATAATTACACCATCCACCCTACCTACCTTTGCAAGAGGCTTCCACGCGTAACCATACTCAATGCCAGATATAGAGATATATGAAGCATCTAAAAGATTTCAGGCAAACTGAAGGCTTAATTCAAAGGCTTCAGTTATAAAAGAGAGATCATACCAATTTCAGAAACCTACATTTTAGTTTTGAGCCACCCATATCAAATGGGCAGGTGAGTGGGATGGAAGGGGAAGAGATAGAAAGACACTTCTAACTTAAAAATAAATTCTGAGATGCGTATTCGTTGCCTCGAGCAACAATTCAGGAGTTTGTTTTGGCAGCAACATTTAGCAATATCCCAAAATATAATTACCTGCCCCATCAAAACAAATTATCAGGATTTTGATTAGCCCCCTAAACACCTTAATAGGCTTTTATGTTTAAGTTAACGGAACGGTTTATGACCTTGACTGTTTTCTTCTGATAAGACAGCACCCACATCCAAGAAGGCAGGCAGTTATACTGACAGTAGTACTGAGAATGTTACTTCTCAGGTTAAAACAAAACGTCTTATTAAAAAAATAAGTGTGATGAAGTACAGAACCATTATTTTACTCAGCTTCACAATGAGCAAAGAGTGACTAGGAATTTCCTTTCATAACTTAAATACCAATTACAGTGCTTTCTGCAGAGACTTATCTTGAGAGTAAAAATATGATGATTCCAGTAATCAACACTCCAACAGCAAGTATAATAATGAGGATGCACATCTTCTTTCGGGACTTTTGCTGTCAATAGAGAAAAAACACAAGTTGATTGAAAACTGTACTAACCACATCAGAAGACTACTCAAATTAATTTATGTTCCTACTGCTTGTGCAATCTAACCAAATTGTGTCCTTACTAACAACAAGGTATATAAAGTTGTTCAAGAAAAAAAAAAAAAAAGCAAAGTTATCCACAACTTACTTTTATGGCTATATTATTCAACAGAATGATTTCAGTGGTATTTTATAGCATATGTAACAAACTAATGAAAGAAAGAATGCAGTAACATAATGAATTAATGTAATTAGAACACTGGGGGAAAGAAAACATGAGTGCACAGGCAACCGCATATAAAGGAAAATGGACAATCAGTCTATATAGTAGAGGAGTTAGCAGTGGTCTGCTAGCAAAAAGATAAAGACTATTAATTTATATACAGAAGGGGACAATGGACTGCAATTTTAGACTTCTGGAAGATAGACTTTGCATCTATTCACACAGTTATTTTAAAGTTGTTTTTGTTGAGTTTCTTAGGTAAAACTTGCTCTTTAAAAAAAAAAAAAAAAGACACACCTAACTAGACACCCAGTCACATAGATGTCACTACAATAAAGAGTAAGTTATGAGCATGTCCAGAACTTTCACATCTCCCATACAGGTCTGTAACTTGAGCCACCAGATCATCCAAGACTAGCAGCAGTCTGTAATACTGAATCTGAAGGACATGGAATCTGAAGGACATGGAATCTGAAGGACATGGAATCTGAAGGACATGGAATCTGAAGGACATGGAATCTGAAGGACATGGAATCTGAAGGTTTCCTTCACAGCAGGAAAGGAGATTACCAGAACGTTTCACAGACTTCTGTGGATAGCCATAGGATAATAACACTCAAATCTTGGGATTCTAGGCCACAACTCCAGAAGCAAAGCCAGGCTTTGCTCTGTTTGTCAGAGGTTCTTCTAGCTGGATGATTTGTTTCTTTTCCCCCCCGCCTCTCTGAAGAAATACTTCTGTGTCAGTTCTTCATTGGAGCTGCCAGTTCTCTGCCCATTACCAACAAGGCTACTAGTTTTACTAACTTAATATGCCCCTTCTCCCATTGTCAGGCTAAGATTTCTTAATTTCATCGTTTTATTTACTAGAAATCAATCCATTTGCTAGAGTACCTTCCGTTTTTTAAATCTGTGGCCAGTTGTCTCCCTACAATGCCAGTCTCTTCCTGTTTCATCCTGGAGACCACCTCTTGTCAACATTGCATTGAAGTCAAACATTTGTCCTGTAACACTACTTAAGTAAGGTAGTGGACTAAAGACACGGCGATCTTATTTCCTCATACACTTGATCAGCATTTCCACAAGTGCTGCAGCAGCAGTGGTAAAGGCAGAATGAAAAGAGAGGAACCCGGCTTTGCCCAAACAGCTCTGCTATGTGAATGCCCCCCCCCGGCAGATGAGGGGTGCATACCTCATCCAGTCACAAACAAGAGTTCTGAGGATGCAAACCATGCGCAGCCTCCACCCTGCCAGCATGCCTGGGCTTCTAACACTTCCTTGAGGGGGCCAGACCATACAGATATAATAGTTGCCAAAATTAAAATAAGTCTGCTGAAAGTGGAAACGATCTCTTAGTGTCTTGGAACAAGGATGAGTTTTCAAGCAAAGAAAAGTTCAAATCCAAAACAAACTACAAAATCCTTTCAAACACAGGCCAGCTCTGCCAAGTGTTTGGTCTCGGGTGCAAGACCCACTGAACAGAAGCTTGTCAAAAGTTCCGATAACCTTCCTTTGAGATCAGAAGATATTAATCCTTTCCTCCTCAAGATAAAGCAAGGTTTAAATTTCAACCAGAAAATTAAAATCTTCCACAGAAAATTTTGGTTGCTGCTGTTTTTTTTTTTCCCTAATCTTTGTCCGTATCAAAATAGGAGCCATTAACCACAATTAATGTGCCAATTAGTGACACCTAGAATACAGTTCAAGGATGCATCCACACCCTTTCCCTCTCACACTTGTGAAATCAGCAGGCAATCCTTCAGACATTTTGTCATTGATTTACTGTCCTGGCTACTACTAACAGACACAAGAGGATTTAACAACAACAAAAAAAAAGTCTAAGGACTAACTGTGACTTAAGAGGGAAGATTTATTACTAGTAAGATTATTTCTAATAAGTTCCAGAGATGTTATAAAGAAGTGGCATTAAAGGTATTAAAAAGGCTTTTCAAACAGGTTTGAGAGTTTGAAATACATTTTTAGCAACAGGGTAGCAATTAACAGAAGCTGGAGATATACAGCTCTGAGAAGATTTTAGACAGCAAAAAATGGTGCTAACTGGCAGCATCCTCAGAAGACTTCTCTGCCTATCTTCCCTACTCCTCCAGTGATATTTAGAGACTTGCTCTCCATATACAGGAACCTTTTACTTCTTAAGCTGTAAAAAGAGGGGTTTATTTGTTTGGGTTCTTTTGTGTTTCTTCTTTTTTTTTTTTTTTTTTTTTTTTTTTAAATAAAGGTGTAACTCCAGGTGCTCTGAAACAGCCTGGCTAATTTTACAGGAAACCCAAAGCTTTTGGAGATCATTGACTTTTGTTTCATAGTGACCTAGAAACATCATCACAGTCTAATATAAGCCTTTAAGTACGTCTCCAAGCCTTGAGGAAATTGATAAGCAAAATCTGAACTGCATAAGAAAGTGGAAGTCAGGAGTACTGACAAAAAACAGTTACACACAACTGGCAGTCAGCATTGACATTACCTGGTAGTTTGCTGCTCTTGACAGCTGCTGGTTTGCTTGCTGCACATGTACATCTGCATTTTCCACATTGGCTTCTATGCTGTCTTTATTTAAAAATGAAAGGTTTAAAAATTTGGTTAGTCATAACTCAGCCAAAGGTTTGGAATGCTGAAATACAATTGTGAGCACATGTAATAGCTGCCCCCCAACTGCTGGTGTCTTTACCAACACCCACAGTTTTATAGCTTGCATTATGGAAGTTTGACCCATCCTATATTTATGCGTGAGTTCATTTCAGAACCGCCCAAGCAATGAGTGGCTGAATTCCTGACAGTAACAGCTCCCCTGTTCGAGATGCAGGGCTGAACCTTTGATATCAGCCAGGGTAGAAACTTTCAGCACTTCTATAATTTTTTTTTTAATTATTTTTAAACTTTCAGTTGTCCTCCAACTTGCTACTGGCTACACTCTGCTCAGATTAAAGAAGTCCTAAGGCCTGTGAAATCAGAAGAAACAAGCACACAAAACACCTCAAGAGGTATGACTTGAGTTAGGTATTTTATCATGCTGACACAATTTTTTTTTTTTCCTGAAAAAGTATGAACAGATTTTGGGCTAAAATGATAGAAAAAGCCCTGAGAATGTATGCTGGGCATAGACAACAGCATGCCTTAGCTGCAGACTCAGGAAATGTATTTTCCAATCCCATTTAATGAAAAAAATAAACCTGTCTGCATGGATATCAAAGCAGGAACCTTTGATGAATCTGCACACTTTTATCATTAGTAATACAGTAAAACTCCCCACATGAACTCCGATTTTACATACAAACAGTTCAAAAAAACTATTTTAAAAGACATTTTATACACATGAAAAACTATGTAATGCTTTAAACTACACTTTAAATACACTTTCTTAATGTATTTCCGGTCCTGTCAGTCTGTCTACAATTACTAGGTTGCACCTGATTTGCTTTGGCATTAGTAGTCTCATTAGAGGAATGTTTCCAGCAAAAGAAAGTTCTATATTGCTGCTCTCCAGAAAAACAGAACAAAAACTTTACAGAGAATATTTGCATTGGACTTACCTATCACATCACCTTGTTCATGAATCATCATTCCTAGATCTTTAAAAATCTCATTGATGTCCATAATATCTGCCTGCAAGGAAACAATCATCGCACTGATTGACATAACATATTCTAGCATCTCTGTACATTTAGATACAAATACTGCTCCTTCTCCTCCCAAGTACACATCCAAGACTCTTTACACTACAGGATAAAAAAAAAATCTTAATATATTTATTTGGAAGGCTTATTTTGGTACTACGAGACCAAGGTTATCATAATCACACTAGCTGAAGATGAGTATGTGCACAAAGTACACTTCACATTGAATCACAGAATGGTTTGGGTTGGAAGGGACCTTAAAGATCATCTAGTTCCAACCCTACTGCCATGGACAGGAACACCTGACATCACATCACAAACAGGATCTCTCCTTGCTGAGGGCTTGTCTACACACACAGTTGCATTAGTTTAACTGAAGTGAAAGGCTCATGCCAACTTTGCTTAAAAGCTATCCTTTTAAGCCAAACCAATAAAAACGTGTGCAGAAAGTATTCTGCATTAGTTTTAGTACACCTGTAAAATTAAACACATACAAATTTCATAGGCACCACAGTTTACAGAAGTTACCTCTATAATATGGCCAAGCTATTGCACCTATATTCCATTATCCTATTACCACCTGGTTATGATGAAGTGACAGATGCCCTGTTAGCACTGCGCATATGATCTCTTCTTAACTAATGACTGATACATGTATAGTACAATTCACTGTAAGTTAAAGGATGGGTGGCAAGGGAGAGATTACTGAAAAATTTATACATAGAATGGATTTAGCCACATGCAAGGCTTCCTGAAAAACTCCAATTCCAGCATCTTTATTTGACATGCACTTAATTAGAAAAGTTTGAATGAAACAGAGTATCTCTGCATTTCCAGAAATGTTCAAAAAAGCCGCTTACAAAATGATGTTGAACAATATACTGGAAATACCTGGGAGGAAAGGTATAATTTTGCTTCATTTATAGTTACTGTTAAAAAAGGTTATGTCACATGACCATTATGTTGGAAAAAAATTATAGGTATTTTTTCTTGCAATCACATGAGCATTCTCTTATTCCATAACTGAACCACTGAAGTTAAACACAGTATCAAAACATGGTTTTCATACAGTAGATTTCTAATGAACTTTTCATATCTAAAGGCAGTATTTGTAGTTATGGAGGAAAAAAACACACTCACAGACAAACCCTAACTCCTCAAGACTAATTTCTGCAATTAATGCTCATGCCACTATAAAATGTTTTTTTTTTTTCTTTGGAAACATTAAAATCATATTCTGCTGTCAAACCACTTGTACTTACCTCAAGCTGCCTAATGGAAGATTCCCTCTCCTCAATAAGACGGAGGTCATCTTCTGTAATTTCTTCATCTTGCACTTGTGCTTGTGGTTGACTATCAAACAAAAAAAAAAAAAAACATCCAGAATTGAACAGGCATGATGATAAATAACTCAGAAGAATAAAACAACAGTTAAGTACATAGCACATACTTTACATTATTGGTTAACAAAACGTACGTTTTTACCCTTGCCTGTCCAGCTAACAGGGAAGGTCTAACAGTCACACCTTTGGTCTAGGAAGCTGTTGCTGTAGCAGCGTTGCACATAGCATTGAGCTAGCCAGTCGCAGATTCCAAGTATGAATACAAGGGCAAAGTTTTTCCTGAAGTATAAACTGCAGAGTGTATATCCACCCAAAGCAAAAGCAAGCTAGCCAGCAAAACAGAATCTGAGACTGGGAAGCAGTTTTTGGAGAGTATGAAAGCAATGTGAGATCTCAGTAAACATTGGACCCTTATCACAGCTTAACAGTTTTACTCTATTCACAGGTTGGACTCTGCTTACCTAAGTCTGGGTCTCACAAAGCCCAAATACAGACTTAGGGCAGCTTAGGGAGATGACTACAGCTGAAGCATGGGGGGAAAAAGGGGGAAGATGATATGAACTGCTCCTTTTTCTTCCCTCTATTCCACCAAAGCCCCTTCTCCACACTTGTGCTATAGAAGAAAGCCAAGCTGAACAACCTTTACCAACTGCCTCTAGAAAAAGACAGTTGATCAAAAATAATAACAACAATAACATTAATCAACAGGTGGCTTCCCTGCAGGCCATTTATTATTCAGAGCTAAGTTAAGACTTATTAACAAATTCAGCCTACCTGTCCCAAGAGACAAGTGTTCCTTCTTTGTAGCTGTCTTCAGGAGCACCACCCTACATGATCAGTGTTTAAAAACATAAATAAAACATTATGGCACTGAAAGAAGCACTCTCAGCATTTCTATAATGAGACAATATTACAAGGTTTATAGTAAGTCAACTTCAAACTGCAACATGATTTAACATGTTCTCATCCTGATTTTGTTTTATGCACGCATAAAGCTGAAATACAAGCAAAAACATTCAGCTCAGTAACTGCCTGCTAAAATTTACAAGTACAGCAACGTGTACCTGGCACAGAATGAAAAGGCAAAATTGATATGCTAACAAGGAAAAACTCAAGCTTCTCAATACTTCTCCATTTTAATACTGCATAGAAAGTTGGCAAGCGATTCTTCCCCGTAGAAAAAAACCTGTTGATATCTAAAGGTTGAGCAAAAGCATTTCAAAATCTACTAAAAATTGCTTTTGCAAGATCACAGCATGAGCCCAGCAGCAATTCATGCCTTTGTGTGACAAAGGCAAAGAAAAAGTAACAGTTCTTTTGGGGGGTGCATGTGTGTTTATTGCAGCTTAATTCAGTCTTTACTATAAAATAATACAGCACACATTCTGCAGTATTTGGAGTCAGATACGAGCTTTTGTAAGTAGCACTGTGGAGGCAAGTCTGACATCAAGCATCACCAACACCACTGTAAACAGAGTATAAAGGCATATTTTCCAGTACTTACAGATACCCTTGAGCTGGCTCTTACTCTGGCTACAAAGTCTTTTTCTTTCTCAGCAGCTTGCCTTTGGAGTCTTTGGAAATTTGTTAGTGCTGTGGTGAACTCCCCCACAAGACGGTCTTTCTGTATTTTTCTTTGACGCTATTGGAGAAAAAGTTTTACCAAGTCAAATGAGCTCAGGCTTTTCAAGGCTCTGCCATTTCCAGGCTTCTCAGTGCTAAGGTATATACTCTTTTTCTTCTAAGTAGTTGTAAGGGAAGAATGTCTATAAACTCATTTGCAACTGCATGGACAAATCTTCCTTCCCTCTGGTATCACATAACTCTGAACAATTTAAGGCATTTAAAGAGGAAACCAATGTATTCATTCTCATTTAACAGCTGGAAATGAGAAATAGGGACAGGAAAGCCTCTACTTTCCTTATCATCTGTTGATTATAAAACCTATGGATTAAGTGTGAAACATTTTGATATGGTGGATGCTAAAGCTTGCAAAGGTGACTGAATGGGGTAGAAGGTGCAGTTAAGAAAAAAACAGGGCACTTCATATGTATTTTACATAAATGCTGGAAATGCATCTTGAGCTGCATCCAGAAGTGGGTTTGCATCCCCCCTTAAGTGCTTAGAAAATGGTTCAAAAATGCTTGTTTAAAAAAAAAAAAAAATTCTTGCAATATTAAGATGTATGGGAGGGAATATAAATACTGGGCACTCGGAAGAGCCTCCATCACATTTCCCTAAATGTATTTGTTACATCAACCCTTCCTTCCAAACTTCTGAGGCTATAATTTGTCATTTATCAATCTAGAGGTAGCTTTGATGAAGATACTCATGATAAAAGGAGTAAAATTAAACAGTAAAATATCTCACTGTCAACTTTTCAGCTCCAAGATAAAGAAACAGAAAAAACATAAAATAATCCCCGAACATTCTTTGCCTGAACTAGTGGTTACATACCAAGACCAAGTTTTAACACTTTTATTAGAAGTTTACAACTTGACAGGATGAGCACACATGGATCACGGCCTGCCACTGGAATTCAGTATTTCAAGATAATTAATTTTCCCTAAGGCTTCTTGGTAACCAGCCACAAACTAGGCAAGGTGTTTGAGTGACAATAACCTGAATCCATGTTTTCTGGCATCCTGTTGCATACGGTGGCAGACCGGAGTATGTCAACAACAACAGCCACTTCACATTACCTCCTGATGAGATTTTACACAGACCTGGGAAAGAAGCAGTGTAAAGACTGCACAGGTTGTCTTATTAACAGCTCCTGTCTACTCCTCTTAAAAAAGGAAAGGCCTGTGGACAAGACATAGCACATATGCTATGCTGATCTGAGCGATGTAGAACAGATCTGCTGTGCATAATCAAATTATTGAAACAGTGGGTGAACAGGTCTGGCTGCTTGCCATGCAAGCAGTTTTGGCATACAATTCCTTGACCCTGGAAGCAGTCAGACTGCCTGCGGAGTCACACTTAGCATCACTGCAACAGATTACAAAGTGCCCAGCTACTTTGTCCTGGTTTTGGCTGGGACAGAATTAATTTTCTTCCTAGTTGCTTGTACAGTGTCGTGTTTTTGATTCAATGAGAGAATAAGGTTGATAACACACTGATGGTTTAGCTGTTGATAAGTAGCGCATATCCTAAATTAAGGATTTTTCAGTTCCCATGCTCTGCCAGTGAACAGGTGCACGAGAAGCTGGGAGGGAGTGTGGCTAGGACAGCTTACTTGAACTAGTCAAAGGGATGTTCCATACCATAGAACATCATGCTGAGAGTATAAACTGGGGGGGCGGGCGCAGATCACTGCTCTGGCATTAGTCAGCAGGTGGTGAGCAATTGCATTGTGTATCACTTGTCTTTCTTGGATTTTATTTCTATTATACTCATTTTCATTACAATTATTATTATATTTTATTATCATTATATATTATTTTATAGTTAGTTTTTAAACCATTATTATCTTAACCCATGAGTTTTACTTTTTTCCCAACTCTCCTTTCCAATCCCACTGTGAGCAGGAAGGAGTGACCGAGTGGCTGCTTGGTGCTTAGTTGCTGACTGGGGTTAAATGATGGCATACCTGAAATCACAGGCACAGTCCGCTGCCTTCTTTCCTACCATTTCTGTCAAACTACCTCATTCCTGATAGAGAAAAACAATTTTGCAACAAGTCTGGACTGCAACAAAATATTCTTATGTTGTAAGCATCCCTGTTGTGCAAATGTGTTGATTAACTGAACAGCGGTTTGAAAGCCTGGCGAGGAGCACAAAAATAGGCATGCAGAACTGAAGTCACTCAAATACTGTGCATGAGTCAACATGACAGTCAAACAAGCCATACTCTTTGGTTTTATACCTGTTCACTTGTTGCAGGCAAAGATCCAAACTCTTTAATGTATTTGTCAGTCTCTTTGGCAAGCTGGTTGGTGTACTGCTGCTTCTGTTGCCTGAAACCAAACATGAAGTTTCATTAGAGACCATTAGGTTACTCGGAATTTCATGAATTCTCAGAAAAGCAGCAGTACTAACTGCTTCTCTGAAGTGCACAAAGCCATCTTTATTCTGTTGTTCACTGTAAAGGTGTGACATCATGGATTCCAGGCAGGACAGATGCTGAATAAGCTGTGCTCCTCAGTGTGACAGCATCAGTACTCATTTTTTCCTAACATGCATCAGCAGGTGTCTAGTTATTATGGATATCTAATCAAGCTTTTCATAGTCCTTTTGAGGCTATCAATAAGTGGAAACACCTGGACATTATTGAGTTCAGAATAACTGTAGAAAAGACCAAGCTTTTTTCTGCGTGGAAGAACATACTGTGGCTTGAATATAATTCTGATACTACAGCCCATGAAAGGTCAATTCCTGATAGTTACTGGGAAGTTTAAGAGAGATCTATATTCTTCCATGATACAATAGCTGCAAACTTAGTAAATAATGAAGTTTTCAGCTAACAGCTTTAACAGTGCTTAAAAAAAAAAAAAACCCTTGTCTTCAACAGCATTGTTATTTTGGAGGTTTTTTTGTCTTTTTGCTTCTGATATTATCATACATTGCTTTACCAATCTTCACATTTTTTTTCCTGAAGCAACTCAAATTCTTTACCTGCTTTTGCATCCACCTCCCCAGTGCATATAAAAAGGTTTTATCTGGAAAGCTACTAGCAAACAATCAATGTAAATATTTAAAATAATCAAATAACTCTTCAGGTACATACTAACATGAAAGGAAGAGCCAAATGTTCAGACAAGTGAAAAAGGGACAGATGAGAACTCAAGGAAGCTTATCACATATATTACCTCCATAAAGGGACTGGAATGTGTCCTTCACAACAGTTTTTATCCTGTTTAGTTGTGAATTTATGCCTAGATCCTGTCTAAGGCATAAACTGTGTATGTTGATCTTCACCTATTCCCAGTCTCCAGTAGAATATCCACTGAAGACTGTACCTGGCTAATGTTATGGGCCCTGAACTCAGGCTATTATAAAGCAATTTGGCTGTTCACACAAAAGGACTGTAATGCCTTTGGTCCAATACACTCCTCCTACTACTATTCAAGGGCCACAGTGCGGCATTAAACACACTGAAGACTGACAACTTTCTCACCCACAGGGTTAGCAAAACACTTTGCTTATGTGCATTTATGGTGCTGAGATTAATGTACTAAAGGAGTTTAATGGAAAAAGCCATACCGGTTCATTAGACTGTGCAGAGAGGTGGAGGGCAGCTGACTGTCTCTGCTAGTGGCATATTAATGAAAGTCCACCTGCAGGTGACTGAACTACAGCACAGAATCTGGCTTGGAGCCAAATTTCACTTCTGCTATTTTATTATTTCTGGTACATACTTACTCTATAATGTTATCCCTTACCATAGCTTTCATCACTGAAAAGACATTCCCCTCTCTCCTCCAGTATCACTTCTCACAGAAAAAAACAACCCAATATATTCATTACCTTGTGAAACTTATACAGACAGATTTGAATAGTTGACTGGAGTCCAGGGGTGTGCGCGTTTGCTTTTTAAAGAGTGATATTGCTTTCTGGTCCTGCCACTTTCCCTTTGCTGACACGCAGCATAGGTTTTATAGATATATCGATATTGCAGGCAAGGTACATGGGCAAACCAGCTGACTCTAGATTATAGACTACCCAAAACTAATTTTAAAAAGCACATCCCAGAACTCAACTTTCAAGTATTTCTCTATAACTTGCCTTTCTTGGTGAGATCAAGCAATCTGCCTAACAAAAAGCCACCTCATCACCTACCAGATGATTGTTTACAAAGCAATAAAATCAAACATTTTCATGTGAAGTACTCACAGCTGTTGCCTCAACTCAGGCGTGTCTTGTGGTGTTCCAAGCTGATGTAGTATTCTTTGTATTTCAGCAGCTGTTTGTGAAGAGGAAGAGAAATTTTAATGAGGCACAGACAATTCCCACTTAATTTTTATGTATTTTTGTTTGACAATTCTAAAGCCATACAAGTTAACAGAAACTGATACGCAAGATTTTTTCAACCAACTACAAAGATTCCACTTAAAAAATCCCAGAACAACTAGTGAATGTTTTTTGACAAGTCAAAGACAAAGCCCAGGGTTTCTCATAAAGGATGGGAATGTATTCAAGTGTCTATGTAGAAACAGACAATTTAAATAACAGTTAATAGTTTCACTACAGTAAGTATAAATCAGGCCTTTCGATATTAATTTTTAAAATAAGCCGCACAATTCTCATTCTGGCTTACTCATATTTTATGCATGTCATTTTGAAAAGCCACATGAAAGACTGCCATGACATTATCGCAAACAAATATTTCAGACCCAGTGTATTAATGAAGAGACAGCAACAAAGCATTCATGGGCTTACAGCACATTAAAAAAAAGAAAGTCAGGTGTGTTCGGGTTTAAATTGTAATTTTAAGATCCCTATATTTTTAAATGTGGGATACACTTAAAAATCAGTGGTGGTTTGTATTTCATAAAATATGTTAGTTTTGAACTGCAAGAAGTGACACATCATCTGAGCCTTATTTTCAGCTTAATATATTTTATTGTCACATGAGAGAGCAAGGAGAAAATTAGACAGACCCTTCCATGATATGCAGTTTACCACACTGAAAAAACAAATATCATTGATGTGTGTAATCTCAACTTAAAACCCTTGCATCTTCTAAAATGAAAGTATACATATGCAAAATAACTCATTTTTGCTTTACCTCAGCTAGTAGTAGACATGTCTTTCCTGTATTTCTGTGGCCCTCTCCCGGCAGACTGGTATAACACAGTCAGTAGAAAATACAGCGGTATGATGTCATGTGGGATCCTCACTTTACTAGCACACTATCTTTTTTTTCCTAAATACAGTTAAAATTGCAGTAAAAAAGAATCTCTAAGCAATGAAGAAAACCATTTAAAAAAAAAAAATATTTTCCATATACCATGGAAGAGATCTGTAACAGACAAACATTCAGTTACAAGGAAGTTACCTGTGACTTATACTAAACAGTTAGATAAAACTGGAATACGATAGAACATTTTTAGTAATAATATTAGTTCTAATATTTGTTTCATAACAAGTCTCCAGTGAATTAGATGAGACTGGATTTTCTATACTACTTTACATAACATCGTGATGTTGACAATTGCTATATCCAGTTCCTTCTGTACGCACCCAGGTAACAAAGATATCAAAAAAGGGAAAGTTAGTACCTAAGTTTTGCATGAGGTAAAAATCAATCACTTTAAGTCAGAAGTCTTTGGAGAAACTGAGTGGACATAAGCTACTAAAAGAGTTACTGAGAGGAACAGCACTGTAAACTGGGTTTCACACAGCTTGTGTTTTAATTGAGCTGAAAAGCAGCAAAACTTAAGTGAAAATGTTTGAATTTTGCCTCCAATTGCCACCTGCCACAGAGCACCAGCCCCTCCCTCCCTGGCCACTGGAGGCCTCCCATCAGCTTCTCCTGGGCAGCTGGAGCTGGTCACACATACTGATAAATATTGACTTTATCTAATTAAGCCTTCTTGTCATGTTCAATGTAATGCATTGTTTTAAAACAAACAAAAAGATAACTCGACTCCACTCCCATGAGACTCCACCTGAAGTACTGTGTCTGGGGCCCCCACCATAAGAAGGACATGGACCTGCTCGAGCAGGTCCAGAGGAGGCCAGGAAGATGATCAGGGGGCTGGAGCACCTCCCGTATGAGGACAGGCTGAGAGAGTTGGGGTTGTTCAGCCTGGAGAAGAGGAGGCTCCAGGGAGACCTTACAGCGGCCTTCCAGTGCTTAAAGGGGGCTACAGGAAAGGTGGGGAGGGACTTCTTATCAGGGAGTGTAATGATAGGACAAGGGGTAACAGTTTTAAACTGACAGAGGGTAGATTTAGATTAGATATAAGGCAGAAATTCTTCACTCTCAGGGCGGCAACACACTGGGGCAGGTTGTCCAGAGCAGCTGTGGCTGCCCCCTCCCTGGAAGGGTTCAGGGCCAGGTTGGACGGGGCTTTGAGCAACCTGGGCTGGTGGAAGGTGTCCCTGCCCGTGGCAGGGGCGTTACAAGTAGATGATCTTTTAGGTCCTTTCCAACCCAAACCATTCTGCGATAACCAACTGGTGTTACCTTCAACAGTGTGAAATTTTAATATCTATAATACTGAACACAAATTATCCTTTCCTTGTTCCAAGGCACTCTCCCTTCTAACTGAAGAGCAAAGGAGCTCAGTGATTCCGTATGTACTTTTACAGGGAGAATTTAAAAACCCCAAACAAACCGCAAGCACTCTGTTAACAGCTGTTTCGCAGAGATAAAACTCACCGGTGTGTCCTACTGCCACCTAGAGATGCATTATTTAACTGCAAATAAATAAAATACAGGTTTGTGTTTTAAACAAAGGCTCTTACTCAAAAAATTCTCTGAAACAAAGCCTATACTTAAAATATTTGCATTCCAAGTTAATTAGATAGTTATCCTACTTATAAAACTGAACACAAGTATATAATTGAGAGGAAATTAAAAGCCAGCACCACATACAATTCCAGGCTATAATTTCTTGGCTAAAATTGAATAATTTCTTGAATAATTTCTTGGATAAAAGTCAATGTCCCTTCTTTTCCCCAAGGGAAAATCAGGGTAGCCTTAGTCTCTCATCCTGAAGGTTAGACTGTAAAAACACCTCTGCTGGCTCCTTCCACTGCCCTGTTTGGGAAACAAGCAGGGAGAGGGTCTTGGGACTGAAAGGAGAGCAAAACTGCTGAAAACCTGTGATTACTTTTCATGAAACAGAGGCCCCTAAGTTACCAGCTTCACTGCTGATGGCAGTATTAATAAGGGTCCTGCCTCCCTTGTTTAACCAGCTTTTGCCCCTGTGCAGGGAGTTCAGGCTTGCATGTCAGGGCACCTGGCAGGTGCTTCGGTGCCTCTCAATCCATCAGTAATGCTCAAGCATCCCAACTCGCAAAGCCCTAGCTCCAGACTGTAAACATACCGGCAACAGTCAGTCAGGGACCAAAGATCAGAGCACAGTTTTGATGGGTTCCTAGGTTACCTCATCCTTTATGGTTTTCCCTTCCTCACTTCCTGATTCTTCCAACTTCCCAAGGAGCTCTGAAAGACAGGAGTCATACGACTGCCAGAGATCCCTCCTGTCCTTCTAAGCATTACCAGTCCTGTAACACGGCCTGACTGGATCTTGTGCATGATTTTAATCCATTTCAGTGCAAAGTCTGACACTTCAGCTCTGGTTCCTTGGGTACATACAGCTAGCTACTGGACTTTGCTCAGGAGCTGCAGAAGGGCACACACAGGCATTCTTCACCAAAGTCACCAGGGTAGGGCAACAGCCTCTGTCAGAGGCATGCAAACCCCTGCAGCCACTTCTGCGCTGAAGAGCAGAGTAGATGTTTGCGTATAATGAAGATCAACAGCTCTTTCAGGGCTCACGTTGCAACTGTGCAGGAGCACCACATTGCCAGCTGCGGGCTGGCAACTAGCCACCGCAGAAGGCAAGTTCCCCTTGGGAACTGGGCAGTGCAGGAAGCAGGGTGCACAACACCACGCAAAGCAAAATGCATTTCCTCCAGGTGACGGCTGTCTCACATGCAAAAGAAAAGAATCTTGCTTTTTCCACCTGAAAACGAATCCTGTATTAGAAAGAAGCAATACCATATTAGTAAGAAGACTTTACACTTCTCTCTGCAGCATTCCTGATCTAGATCTCATAATACTTAACTACTAGCTGATGGAAGCTACTCAGCTACTCTCAGACCAGTCACATGCTCAGGAACAGGTCAGACACGGTTAATGATGAGCCAGAGAAACAATTAAGACCTAATCTGAATTCCTACAGGGAAAAATTATTCAAGAGCCAGCTCATGTTTACTTTTACTAAGCCAAACCGTGGTTCTATTTCTATCAGTGGAAACTCTCCCTCTAGTTAAAGGGAGCAAAAAAAAAGGGGTCCAGAAAAAAATAGTTATACTGTCTCATATAAAAGACCTCCTTTTCTCTACATGAGTTACCAGATTAGTAAGATTTACAGTGGAAATATTTACATTTTTTAACAGGCAGGAGTATTTGAGAAGCATGTTCCAGCCAGATCTGTAATACATACTATTTTTTTCCATACATAAAAACATATTTCACGTATTGTATCACATGTTATCCCTTCTTAACAGCTGGCTTTTGTCTGGTTGGGAAAGAAGAAAGTTTCATCTCCTTTCTCCTCATCTTCCCTTGTTTTTCAGCTGGCTCTGCAAAGCTGTTCCACTACAAGTAAATCCATGTTGACATAACTTCTGGTTCTGCTCCTTGAACATGAAAATGTTTAAGATCACACAGCAAGTTTCAAACTTAAAATAAAGATACAAATTAATAAATTAATACAATGAAGAACAAAATGTAAACAACCTCTTGCTTCTAAGAACATAGGAGCAAACAATGTTATTCCCAACTGAAAATTAGTAATCATTGTACAGACTATAACACCACAATATTGTTGCAGAAAAAAAGGTGAAAAAAAACCCAAACAACAAACTCTTCAATAAAATCCTAATGCTTGAAAGGCAAAGAATTAACTAAGAGGAGGTAAATGAAGAGTGGACTGTAAGTCACGAACTGCCTCTGGCAGGATTGAGAAGTGTCCAAATACCATGTTTGTCCCTAGCATAAGACAAGGGAAACTGAGGATCGTCTTACTTTGGAGCACTTACCAGTAACTCCAGCTAAAGGAGGGAAGCTTTCCCAGGTTACCTACAATCACCTGTCTTCCTATCTCAACCTCCATTCTATTTAACATTTGAAAAAACAGACTTTAAACTCTTGAGTAGCCATGACCAGGCTCATTGCAGGTTTACAGCTGGAGAGGGAGGTGAATCAACACACAATCCACAGAG